AGAGTTTTTTTAATTAAACAGTAAAAAATTAGGGTTAATTCAAAAAGCTTGTTTTGGTTAACTAGTTTAGGTAAAAGAGATTATACTAGAGCTTGTTAGTTTTTCTCAGTAGCAGCTTAGATAGAACGCATTCTGAATAACCAGATCTGAACTGATTGAATGATTAGGAAAGTCGCAGTAGAATTGAAATCATTTTTATTATTGATTTTCATTTAATTTACTATCACTGTAATTTTTAGTTTTTAGTTTAATTCAAAAACCCCCGTTTTAATAATTTATGTTTTGACTAGAATGTGTCTGATGCAAAAATGCATTGACCTTTAGGTTGTGTCCCTGAGGATTCGACCCTGCTTCCCTGTGTTAAATTATTAGTGCAACCAGCAGTGAAAAATTTATTTGCTTAATACACGTGCGACAGCGTGTTAAAAATGGGTGACTGGAGAATTCTACAGCGCTCCACCAAACTCATTGGCTTTTCCTCTGACGTGACCAAGATACGAATGTCACTAAGTCTTAATGTAATATTCCTAGCGAATAATAGTAGTCTAGATTCCCCACTTACCCAATGTCTACATCAAGATCTATCAAGTAAGGAACAACTAGGTAAGATCATATTGGAGGTAGGGTCCATTTGGTATACCGAGTATACTGTTCGGAAATCCCACTTTAAACACCTCACTAATTTCAGGCTAGGCATCATCCCCGCAAGTAGATCAATTAGTATAGTAAATTGGAATAACTGATAAGTGTTACTTATAGGTTCATAATAACGATTATGACTCTAATTAAAAGTTACACTTGAATAAAATAAATGTAACTTAACTTACAGAGCTTTTAGCGAAAATTGGGAATTATGCGGGCAAAATCTTGATCTGAAAGCTTCTATTCACTGGATATCTGACACCACATTTCTTGCTGAAGACTAAAACCTAAGGGAAAATGGGGCTAACACTGATAGAAAATCGAGAGAGAAATGTAAAAAAGGTGTGGGAATGGACTGAAACTCAAAGGGTATTTATAGCTAAAATCGGAGAGCAAGTCGCGCATATGGAGGTTGCACGCCGCGCAAATGGTCGGAACAGTTGACATGGCTCCATCACGCATAATACATGTCATCGTTTGGGTAGGGTTTTAGTGCACACCGCACACTCTGTCTTTGCGCACGAGCGCATGAGAGGATTTTCTGTTTCTTTAAAAAAATCACATCTTCTTCATACGAGCTCCATTTTCGGCGCATTTTATATCCACGCGTAACTGTCGACGAGATCTACACCTTTCATTTAGACATCGTCGGCTAATTTTGACTTTATTTTTAAAGTTATATTTTTAACAGGTTTAGACTGTTAAAGTCCGTTAAAAATTCACAACTCTCTCATTTGATGTCCGTTCTCGACTGACTTTATATGGACAGACTCTTACTAACGAGATTCGATTTTTGTTTAGATTGCTTTTCCTAACAATCGACCAATTTTGAATTTCGGTTTCTATGTCGCATACTACTACGTTGAAACTTCTAAAAATCATAACTTCCTCTCACAAATTCATATTTAAGCGTTCTTTATATGTACGAAATCCTTCTCACATATACTACACTTTGGTCAAGATTATTTATCCTAAATATAATCTTCTATCAAAATGTCATTTTTAATGCTTATTATATCTTAATTGACTAACCCGAATCTACGGGTGTTACAATTATGTCCCATTTAGGATTATTACATACTAGAATCATCAACAAGACAAGGCATGTATAATGACTATGTTACCTTTCCATCCTAGGTAATAATCGTAACTTCTATGTTCGTTGGAGACTCTTGATTCTTCTTAAACAAGCTTAATTCATGATAAGGCCTTTACTTCGACTATTGTAACAGACCGATGGGTCATGTTCTAATGACCTATCGTCGCACATTACAGTGGCTAAACTTAGGTATCTTTGAGTTGAATATAGCATGAAAGATACCTTCCTTCATGTTACAGTGGCTAGACTTAGGTACTTTTAGCTATAAGCTGCTTAGTTTTAATGGAGATCACGATAATTCTGTTCATCGATTCGATTATCTTTTCCCTCAATCTCTTAACTTAAGTCAGATGCTACATCGAACTTACTTCATCGCTTTCATCTTAGTCAGACTCGATTCCATATGACCACTAACTTCGGAATTAATATTTATCTTCGTAGTCATTATCGAAACAAAGGTAATGATAGAAATGAATCAAATTATCTTAGAGACTTAGTAACCTTGTGACTTTCCCTAATCCAAGTGCGAGTCTTGTGCTTCCAATAGTATAGGCCTATACTACCTTTCACACATACTTATACTCGTCCTCAGAATTGTCTCGCAGTTCCTAAGTTACTATTCCTAAAATCACAAAACAATTTAACACATACGAATATGTCCAAATAAGCACTTGTTCTAATAGACTCTACTAGGCGCACATACGAATTTTCCTAGTTTCCTCTTCGGTGTTGTTCCTCCTCACCTTTCGTTGTTTAGCTGCAAACTCCCGTTACCATTTCTTAATTTGTTACGAGTTTTCACCATGATGTTCTATAGACCCAAACGGCATTTAGTGTATCGAGACGAGAATATAGATAAGGAAGGATTAGACACATAATTCTCCTTATCACTTTGAAAAGTTATATACCAGTTCTAATACCGTAATTAAACGTCGAGAAACCTGAACACATAAAATTACTTAATCCAGGTCTACAACAGACCTTAATTCAAGTAATAACAATTCTAGGTAGATAACCTAAAGCATGTTATAGTCATTTAGCATGCAATAACAATTAAGGCACATTCCCTAATGTATTCTAGCACTTATATCAGTTTAGGTGTACCACCGAAAATATAATAGACACACATCTTACGATCATCGCTTAACATTCTAATTTTAAGTCTAGAAATCTTCTAAATCCTAGTTCGCTTAAACTAATGCTCTGGTACAAACTGTGACATCCTCATTTTTCTCGGTCTGAAACGACTTTTTTATTTATGATTAATTCAAATCAGATTAATAATTATAAATACTTAAATTTTGGTCTCGTAAAAGTATTTTCGAATAAATGTTTTTCATTGATTTATAAAGACTTGGGATGTCATAACTGATATAAAACACAAACATATACAGTCCTTACATCATCTTAGACTATCAATCTACATCTCCTTGAATCTCTTATCATTCGTGTAACTTTGTACAGCTACATGTGATACAAAGAAGCTAAGTACGCCAGGTTGGGAAACCTGGTGAGGACATAAGGATTTCAATCTCACAATTTTATAATAATATATATATATATATATATATATATATTAAAACTAGTAAAACTATTTCTTATTATTAAGAAAGTATATCCCATATAACTAATCTACCCATATCCAGTCAATCCTCACATATTGACCCTAAATAAAATTTTGACATTTATCCAGAGGGATTAATGTGAACAACGAATTAGCTATGTTGCTTCGGGAATTACTTAGCAGTAGACGAGGATCAATGGAGACAACAGGAAAAAGAATGGAATACTCTAATTATCATATCAAATCCATCCTCCTATATTAGTGATGAATGATTGTACTTAATCTATACTCCCGGATCAGTAACGAATGAATATGCTTAATCCATACTCTCATATTAGTAATGAATGGCTATACTTAATCCATACCCCTAGATAAGTAATGAATGACTATACTTAATCCATACTCTCGGATCAGTAACAAATGATTGTGCTTAATACATACTCCCAGATTATTAATGAATGGTTATGCTTACTCCATACTCCTGGATCAGTAATGAATGGTTATACTTAATCCATTCTCTCTGATTAGTAATGAATGGATAAACCTAATCCACACACTTGGATTAGGAATAAATGATTGTACCTAGCCTATATGCTTGGATCAGGAATGAATGATTGTACTTAATCCATACTCTCGGATCATCAATGCCAGAATTCTACCCTCACACCTCTCACAGACTCTTTGAAAGATGCTACCCGATATCATTACTTAATTAAACTTAAGCCCATTTTGCAAGTCTTATATTATCTATTGGTAAGACTACAATACTCAACTCCTAGTACAAACTCTGCTTTAGATAACACTATTCTACCTTAGTGTGTTTTGTTTGACACAAAGTATTTTATGTATTAATACACTTTTTCTAATAACACTCTTATTATTATTATTATCATGAAATAATATATATACATCTTAACACATATAGAACCATATCTTGTTCGCATGTCGTATATTATCAAATACAGTTCTAACACATATTCCAGGCAATAAGCATATAGCTCACATATAAACTCTTTGAAATGTATTTTAATAATTTAATTGATACATGTATTAAAATCATGTTCATGAAAGAGACTTTCACTACTAGAAAAACAGCCTTTTACGACGTGCAATGCGTGTCGTAAAACGCTCAGACAACACGCACATGCGTGTCAAGGAAGGCCCTGTCATAACGAAAGACGAAACGCTTTTGCGTGTCGTCTATTTACGAAGCGCATTTACGACACACATTCACGATGCTCATTTACGACACGCAATGCGTATCAAGGAAGGCCCTGTCATAAAGGAAGACGACACACATTTGCGTGTCATAACCTTATGACACACGTTTAGGACACACATTGCGTATCATTAAAGCTCGTATCATAAATGAAGATGACACGCAATTGCGTGTCATAAACTTCAACAACCATTTACGATATGCATATACGACGTGCCTTTACGATACTTATTTACGCATAATACAAAAATATAGAAACAAATATATGCCAAAACAATCAATTTCATCCAATAACATCATGTCAAAAAACTGTAATACATTGATATTAAGGGGATCTTATTGTACGTTGTTAGTAAGAGGTTTTCCCTAACTATATAACCAAAATCAAGAGTTATGAATCATAAAGCTAAAAGGTAAGCACTTAAAGCTGAAACATTTTATTAATACATACAGTGACAAGATTAACATAAACCATATTAGCACCCAAGCATTCTCATCTCTGATATTTTGTTGTTTTGGCTTTGTGATTCTTCAATAACAACTCCATTAACATCAGACTCTGAAGAAATGGTTGAATTAGACTCATTCCCATCTCCTTCAACATCTACAGTTGGTTGAAAAAGTGTATTAAAATTTTAATCACTTGCTAGTATTATAGTTTAATGATAGTTTAAATGATAAAATATATATCATTCAGTTTGATTTACAAAAAATGTACCAGGTGGCAGCTTCTGATAAGTTGAATAAGGCACCAAGTATGACATGTCATGGTAATAGTCTCCATCACCAAGTTTATCTTGCTTTTCACTGACATCAACCTAACCTGCACTAATTTGTCTCTATAGAATGTTAAATACTGACCACAAAAGGTAATTTGCACTCCAAGTACTCTTTCCTAAACCTACACTAATAGGATTGCTGAATTCTGACATGAATAAACAAGGTTGATAGCAGATAGATGATAGTATAATCTGAACCTTTAAACCATCAAGACCAGTTGCATCTGCATGTCTACATCCTGTTCAATATGAACACAAACAAGAATCATTGATTATTCATTTGATTTTAGCATTCATATAATGTTATTGATGTAGATCATACCTTCTAGGAATTGTTGATGAGCAGCAGCCAGGAGTGGAAGAGAAAATATAAGTGACTTGGCTGTGTCTAAAACAGTCCCCTGTAAAACACAAAATTTAATTAGGAAAAACTAAGATGTCAGTTCCTTCTATGTAAGCTAGAAACATTGGATGTAAGCTAGAAACATTGGATTCAGGTAAGTTACCAAATCTTGAACTGAAGTGTTAAGGAAATCGTCCTTGATTTTCTTCCCATGTAATAGATAGGGGATGTAATTCTTGAAAATCCTGCATATTGGAAAGGAAGAAAGTTACCTAATGTATTATAAAAGATCAAAGTTTATATAAGGTTTGGAATTCTTTAACATCAACTATGAAACTACTTAAAAACAAAAATGAGTTCAGATGATAACAGTTACTGAATCTACCATGAGTTTCATGCAACATTTGATATAATATCATATAATATCCAAGGATGAATCCCAGCTTGAACGCTAAGAGAAATGGCCTCTACAGAAGAAACAAAATGAATGCCTTTAAGCAACTCAATTACCATCTTGGATTTTCTGAAACGAAACATGGAATCAGATCATCAATCATAGAAATCAAAAGCCACAAATGGAACCAGTTAACTTTAGATCTTTGGCCCAATAGTATCAATCAAATTGATAATAGTTGTCATTCAGCAAAAAAAACTGCATAGATAATATACAATTTTCTTATAAATTTATAAACATTGTGTGTTAGTCATTATTATAACTAATTCATGTACAGAGTCTTCGCATCATTTTACTATCCTTATCTGATCATGTGCATCAACCACAATTAAGCTTTCATTTGTAACCTCAATCTTATTCGACAAAGAGGAGTGGTGGAGGAATTATTGGCTCTAAATTAAAGCAAACAATATTGAGAAATTAACTAGATTGAGAAGTCGGGTTAGCTCAAACGTGCTTCGGTATATTCAGATAGTTAATAGAATTCTAAATACGAAAATGGAAGTACCTGGACTGGTCGGAAGTGGTCATTTATACGAGGGGATCCATCTGTAGATTTTAGTAAAGCAAAGTAAAATTCCTCTTACACATTCATATTATAACAACTACTTATAGGAATATTCTTTAATCACTAGCCCTTCAACTGTCTGGCACACACAAAAAATTAGTGTCCTGAGATATTTCTTCTGTAGAGCATCATACACACCTATAAAAAAACAACTCGTGAAAAAATCAGTAATAAAAACATATAAAATCAAGCTCAAAAGCACTAGAGAATGTTTATGAATCAGTATACCTTTCTTCATCCTGTCAATTAGTCTTTTGGACTCTGCATCCATAGGTATAAAAGATCTTCACTAGAGAGACCAACATAATCCCATACACGTTGTGTTTCCAGTTCTTGAGAGTAGCAGTGTTGTGTTTGTTTTTAGTGTTCAACTGCATGCCCTTCTTTATACCTCCCACACCGAACAAACCCACACAGAAGACATATCCACAAATTTTCTGATGTTTGACAATTCAAACATTTTGACTTTTCAGGCTGCTGTTGACAATAATGAAATATCTACAACAACATTATTACCATCAACATTGAAAACTAAAATCAAATAAACAATATGTTTTGTAAAGATCAGTTTATTTATGCCAACTGTCAAGTAATGATTTTTAAACTTACAGGGCATGAAGAACCGTATTCTTACCTTGGAAGATGTTGAACCCTATTCTTACCTTGGAGTCGATGCCTATACAAAGAAAGGTTGGAAGATGTCGATGCCACTAAACACTACACGAGAAGATGCTCTGCTGTAATGGTTGATTTTAACCTAGATACAGTAAGAAATTAGAACACGTCAAAGGAGTAGGGGGTCGATTTTTTTCATTGCAAAAAACCCTAAGTGTTATGAGAGAGATTATGAGAGGTGAAAGATTAGTCTAGTTTTTAGGGTAATGAATAAGGTTGTGGTTTGTTGGTGGCGGCGGGGGAGAAGAAGATAGCTCCGACGAAGGTCAAAAATATGGAGCAAGGAAGAAGGAAAGGGTAAGAAGACATCGTCGTGAATGGCCAGTGGCAGTGTATAGGGTTAGAGAGAGAGAGAGAGGAGGAGGAGGAGGAGGAGGGAGAGAATGGCTCTGTGCGATTTTACGAGAGATAAGGCGATCCAGAGGGAGAGAGTGCAGAAGCGGGGTATTCAAAATTTTTGAATTTTTGAATTTTAGAGGATCCTTCTTTAAAATGCACGTTTTGTTAAAAAAATATAAAGCGGCATTTGTAGATGACACACACTTAAAATAAGCGCCCTCCGTGTTTTTAATTTTGTTTTGTTTGACACTAATTTTAGGGCACGCACAAATGCGTGTCCTCTATCCTTCAAATTTTTAAAATCTGACATTAATTTTTAGGGCACGCACAAATGAGCGTCCTGTATCCGTGTGTGTCATTATTTGCGCGTCGTAAAAGGCTGTTTTTCTAGTAGTGTTTCCACTCACGCACAAACTCCTTGACTTTTGCTCGGAAGTGGATAACGGTTCTTCACTGTTAACATGCTTATCTCCTAAGAATCGATACACATATGGTGAGATCCATCCTTCTTCTTCATAAACATAATCATGCCCCACATGGTGAACTGCTCGGCCTAATAAAACCATTGTTTAACAACTCCTAAAGATGTGTAGACAACTCCTGCATCCCCGGAGGTGCTAAGTGATATGGTGCCTTGGCTATCGGAGCCGCTCCCGAACTTAAATCAATCCAGAACTCTACCTGACTCTTAGTAGGCACTCCCGACAAATCCCTAGGAAACACATATGGGAATTCCCGAACAATAGGTACATCATCCATAATCTTCTTCCCCGCAACCTGAGAATCAACATATTCCAAAAACCGAAAGCATCCCTACTGAAGATACATCCTAGCCCTCATGGTTGAGCATATAGTTGGTCCACACTTAGTGCCCCCACCATGAATAACCAATTCTCCCCAGTTGGGATTCAAACCCGTACTAGCTGATGATCGCAGTGTATCATAACCCAAAACCAACACAACCGATCCATACCCATGATGATCCTCGCCCCTAAGAGAAATCAGAACTAGATACATAGGAAACCAGACTCGAAACATCTCCAATATACAATCCTGATGAACCCTTGAAGAATTTACAGTGCGGTGGTTGACGATCTCTACCTCTAAAGGAAAATTCAGCGTCCTCGAGTCATCATAAAACTTCTTGCTAAGAGCAAGAGATACAAAAGATTGGGTAGCATCCGAATCGAAGAGAACTAGATGAGACATACCATTGAATGGGAACATCATTAATCACATCATCGACAACTGTAGACATAAATAGAAAACGTGAGAAATTAAATGAGAATACATACCCATGAAAACGTCTGGTGCTACTCTGGCCTCTTTGGCTGTCAACTGAAAAGCTCAACTCTTCACCATTGGAGCCTCCGCCTTGCCCTGGTGCCCGTCGATAATCCTCAAGGTAGCTAGTGTGCGTGCCGCCACCATCCCACTAAAAAATCTCGGGCAATTAGCCTTCTTGTGGCCCGTCTGGTTGCTATGGAACATATCAGTGCCCCACGAGGGCAATCCCTACCTAATTGTCATGTCTGATCGCACCTGAAACAACCTGAACCACCTCTACAAACTCCATCGAGCAACTTACCACAACAACCCCAACCCTAATGGCCTCTAGATTGTGAGTCAGAATTCTTAGGCCTCTTCGTTGGGCCCTCATCAATCTGAACCTGAGCTGGATTCTACTTCGTCCGAAATTCCAACTCAATCTCCCGTTCCTAGGATCTTTCAATCATATCCTCCATGGTCCTGCATCTCATAATGCTAACAAACTCCCTGATGTCATCCCTCGGCATATCATGGTATCTTGTATTCTTCACTCATCATTAGCAACATATTGTGGAACTAACAAGGCCCTCTTCGTAAATTTGGCGGTGATCTCTGCCACGGTCTCTGTCGTTCGGAGAAGGTCCTGAAACTCCCTCGCCAACTGCTTCACCGTAATAGTAGTTGCAAACTTCAATCTGAATCTAGTAACAAAATCAGACCAAGTCATAGCCTCGATGGCAGGTGCTCCCAAAGCATCACCAACCTCCTCCCACTAATCACGATCTCTATCTCTCAGAAGGCAAGCCACAAACCTCACCTTTGACTCCTCCAGGTAGAAATTTGTTCGTTGTGCACTCTCCATGTCTACAATCCATCGTCTTTTGGAAATGGGGTCTTTCTTCCTGAAGAACTATGGAGCCCCACAAGCGTTGAACTTCTGAAATATGAGAGTACGTGTCTCAGGCTGACTAGCGGCCAACTTCGCATGAAAGGCTCCTAATCTCTCCTCCACTATCTCAACGATCCCCTCCTTGATCGAACCTAAAATGATAGGGATCGCCTCAAGGATACCTCATGTAATATCAGACGTGATAAACTTACGCAGTCCAATATAAATAGGTTGAACATTAGATTCTGAACTCGAACCGGAACCATAGTCACCTCCATGACGAGTCATCACCATACTGAAAAAATAGCAATGGAAGGGTAAAAACATACTCAGAGGACCCCTCACTCTACAAGCTTCTTAAGATTTCTAAAACTATCCTTGATTCGAGTACGGATCATGTGTTTTCAATAGTTCAGGACAATACTGTTGGATTTGGTGTCTAAGCCCATAACTATAATTGGGATGTACTTGACCCGATTGTAGCATGGTCCTTTTAGGTTGCCTTCATCAGTGGAATTTGATAGGATGGACTTTTGAGAATAAAGTTATTTATCATTTATTAATATATTATAAGTATAATATATTGAGAAATCATATTATCTAATTAGTATTGATCAATAATTAATTTGGAATTAATTATGTGATCAAAAGAGACTAATTAAATATATGGGGATTGATTATGTAAATCAATCATTCTTATAGTGTAGGCCAATGATCCATCGTTGTTTTGGATGGGCCAAACCAATGATATAATCCATGGATAGTCCATGGAGGTTTAACCCATGGAGCATATGAATGTGAAAAGTCATGGAGCATTAGGGTTTGTATGGATGTAACCCTATCATTTGCTACACTATAAAATGGATCCCCTAGAGCCAAAATCGGTTGCCACACACATTCTAAGAGAGTGAAATTGATTTTGTTCTAAGCAACTCTCTCAAGCCTCCTCTTGCACTTGGTGTTTGTTAACCATCAGAGGCATCACACTTAGGGTGCTCAAGGTTTCAAAGGTCAAGAACTACAAGTCCTTCTAAGAGGTAAGTCATCTAACTAGTTGTGTAGTAACATAAGAACATGGTTTGGCATGCGAAATTAAAGATTGAACAATGAACATGGTGATTTGGGTGTTCAAGAGATGTATTGATTGTATATGGTGTTACACAAAAAGGATCTAGATCTAGACTACATAAATAACACACACTTACACACTCACTTTTACATCTCTCAAGCACATCTCTACAAGTGGACTAAACCCACCTTATATAGAGGTGTTTGCATGTCTCTCTCTCTCACTCTCTATCTCTCATGTGTCACAAGGCTAATACTCCACACGCAAGTGGGTTTTACAAAAGTCAAACATTACAAAGTCATCCAAGGAAAACTTTGTACCCCAACATTCTCCCCCTCAAAGTTAGGAATGAATGACCCACTTCAATTCTTCCAAACTCGAGCAACTACGCGATCCGAGCCTCAAAGGTGACACATGTCGAAACGAACTTCAATCTTCAATTCTTCCATGATTCTTCAATTTGGGCTCTAGGATGTGAGACCATACAAACCGAGCATCAACGAATGATCACGAGCTTCTCAAACTCCAAATTGATCACCAAAAGTTGAGCATAAAGCACACCCCAAAAATCTTCAATAAAACCAAACCCATTTCGAATACATCACTTCCGAACTTCCAATTTCATCATTTCGTAAGCTTCAAAATTCAAGATCACTTCGGTCTTCAAATCCGCGTAATATGAAAAATTCAAGTTCGAATTTTCATATAAAACCTTAGATATT